TTTTTTTTTTTTTTCCAAGTAGGCTCAACGCCCAGCATGGAGCCTCATGCAGGGCTTGAACTCATGACCCTGAGATCAAGACCTGAGCTGAGATCAAGAGTTGGATGCTTAACCGACTGAGCCACCTAGGTGCTCTGTAAGCATCCAACTCTTAAAAAAAAAAAAGTATTTTATAAAAAAGAAGACTCTAATTCCATCTCTAAATAACATACAAAGCAATCATTTTAAATATATTTTTCTGGGACCAAGCCTGTCTTTCCTTACTGGTTAAAAAAGAAAAAACCCTTATAAATAAATTAATAAAATAAATTCAACTTTAAAACCAGCAAAATTGGCACAACTCCACGATATATAGCATATGCTATTTTATGTATAGAAACACAATAAAAGAAAAAAAAGAAAACATAATAAAAGAAACTTACCTACTTCTTCTTCTTCATCATTAGATATTATATTGTATAGTGTGTCCAAAGCATAACCTATTATTTCAGAATCCGAACTGGAAAAAAGAAATTATTACACTTACACACTGCTGAAGTGTAAACTGTTATGACCATTTTTAGACAGTTATTTAGCAAGACAGTATAAAACATTAATCTAAAATCTACACTAAGAAAATATCAGAGTACAAACTTAAAGAATGTATAAAGGTTACTTATAATAGTGGAAGATTAGAAGCAACCTAAATGTATAATACTAAAAAAAAGTATAGCAGCAATGAAAAACAGTGTTTTTAAAGAATGTTTAATGACATGGTAATTAAAACACCCTTGATATAATGCCAGCAGAAAAACTTAAATATAAAAATTAATGTATAGAATGGCCCCATTTAGCAAAAAATACATATACATTCCTGTGTGTGTGTGTGTGTGTATATATACATATATATTTTTTTTTTCTAAAAAACAACTTGTAAATAAATTTGTAAAGTAAATTCAACTTTAAAACCAGCAAAATTGGGGCGCCTGGGTGGCTCAGTCGTTAAGCGTTTGCCTTCGGCTTGGGTCATGATCCCAGGGTCCTGGGATCAAGCTCCACATCGGGCGTCCTGCTCAGCGGGGAGTCTGCTTCTCCTCCTCTCTCTGCCCCTCCTCCCCACTTGTGCTCTCTCTCTCAAATGAATAAATAAAATCTTTAAAAAAACTTTTTTCTCAACCCTGAGAAATTAATAAAGTTAAGTTGTTAGCTAGATACCACAGAGAAATAAAAATTTAAGAAAAAGGATATTTAAGTACAAGAAATTGTGACCATTTGACCTGACCCATTTCAAATGTTCCTATTACTGGTATTCTATGAAGTTAATATCTATATATATTTCTGCTCTATTTTTATCATAATAAAATATATACACACTTATAATTATCTACATTTCTTTATAATTTGTCTACTTACAATTTCAAAAGAGCTTATAATCTAAATTAAACTTCTAAAATGCACAAAAATGCCCACCTTTCTGGTTGTCTAGAATAATGAAACATCCACTATGTCCTTCAATAGCCAACCTGATGTGAAGAATGCATTCTTCAACAGCACTGTCAAATGTTACTCAGTGAATACGTTTTTACAATATATAGAAAGAAATGTATATAGACTTCTAGCTAAGTATTTCACATACCAACAATAAAATAAAGTAAGATGACAGATTACCTTATTTTAAATATGCAAGTAATGTGAAACAAAAATAGGAAAAAAAAAAGATGTACCAAAGAAGTGTGAGTTTTGAACTGATTTGTATCATTTCACACCAGACTAACGTAAAGAAACTTTCTAAATTTAATACGTTGTTGCCCTTTATAAATTAACAAAAGTCCTATGTTAAAAGTTGAAGTATTTATTAGGAAAAACCCCTCTAATTTCATATTGGTCACCGGATAATAACATATAAATAAAAGTTCATTTTTTAATAGCCAAAAATGATTTATTTAATCTGAAATTACTAATATTCATACTGCCTAACTAAAACCAAATACAAAAAGAGGACAAAAGATTTTATAGGGGTGCCTGGGTGGCTCAGTTAAGCATCTGCCTTCAGCTCAGGTCATAATCCCAGAGTCCTGGGATCGAGTCCCGCATCGGGCTCCCGGCTTGGCAGGGAGTCTGCTTCTCCTTCTCCCTCTGCCCCTCTGCCTGCTCATGCTCTCTCGCTCAAATAAAATAAATAAAT